TTGAAATTTCAAAAATCAAAATTTTGGAATCCCCGGGTCAGAAACTGACAAAACTGGATTAAATACCAGATTTAACTCAAATACTGGTCTGAAACCCCCCGTATTTGGGATGAAACCATACTTTCTGCCAATTTTTAGCGGTTTCCAAACCACAACCTCAAATTTGACCGCTGAGTTGGCACTTTGGCACAAAAAATACACAAAAATTTCAAATATCAAGTTTCAACATTACAAAATTCACATACTTGCAAAACGACCAAACACCAAAGTGATTCTTTACCAGAAGTCAACTGTAACTGTAAATTCACATCAATTTCAATCTACTGCTATCATTGCTTCCATCGCTTCCAAGCCAACCATACAAAATCTGCGAAAATCAAAAGCTACAGCTGTCATCACTATCATCTGTCACCTCATTCTCTGCACAAGTACCTGTGAAGCAGACAAGGACAAGCATTCACCTTGAGGTTTAATTGCAAAAACAAAAATTTCTGCCTACTGACGTTCCTTCTGTACTTGTGTTTGCCAGCTTGCCTGGTTGACCGGAATAACTTATCACCTTCTAACCCATTTTCATTTTACTTTTTACGTTAAAAATGGAATCAACCGAACAAATCTACCCAGATCAAAAACTTGTTGGTTATACTTTAAAAAACTCTACTTGTAGTCATTTCCTTTAGCTTTACCACAGTCATCAAACAGTCACTTTTCCTTCCATTTGTTATCTTGCTCTTTACCCTTGGGATACCACAGATTGTTTAACCATAAGTTATTCAAATGAAGCTCCTTAAGTTCCTTATATTCTTTTGATAAGGTTCTATCTTATCAAACCAACACTAAAGTGTCACTCAAAGATTTTAGATGTTAGTACATGTTTACCTAGCCAGATTAATAAGTGACTGCACTTACTGATACACTGACAGAGGTTCTTCCTCCGCACTGTAGACAACTACAAGTAACGATTGTAGGTTCAAACAGTTTACCTTACAAAGAATTGAAAACTAATTCCTCACTAGTCTAGAAATCACCTTTCAAACTTTAAGAAATACATTTTGTACGCATAGTTCACCTCTAATGTTTAGTCTAGAGCTGACAGTTTCTCTTGTGTGAATTCTCACAGCTTCACAATTCGTGTCATGTAACTCTTTTTCTTCTCCTGTTTATACTTAGCATCTCTAGCTGCCATATGTGCAGCCCGCTTTACAGCTTCCTTTTTCCCTTTGACATCAGATTGCTGCCTAGCCATTGGTTCAATAGAAGTAAAAAGTTAGTATTGATCAGGGTTACCTTGCTCGGAGAGATATAACATCTCACCCCAGAAACCTGGCTGCAGAAAGAATAAAACAAAGGTCAGCTCACGTGGAATGCTTCAGAATTATCACCCACATAGAATGAGGATGGAGTGGAACACCCACGACTTGGTGATATGTGAATCAAGAGGCTAGACCAGTTGTCGGGGTTCCCCTCAGTCACCTATTCTTACCCCTAAAGAGTTCACATATCCTCAAGTCACTGGCTGCTACCACTCCACCCCCACAACATGAAGTGCAAATCTGAAGCTAGTAAGGTTGGGAAAGATTAATGAAAGCATACCTTGATGGATGCACTTGACGGACGGGATGTTTGAAACTTGTTGCTTCAATGAGTCTCCTCCACTTTTGACTCTGAAATTATAGGAAACTAATCCAGGGCCAGCTTGTGGTTTGCAGATTGTATAACATGTATTTGACTACAAGCAAGCCGCCAGATTATGGTCAAACTTTAATAGAGAGACCACCTAGCCTCAGGTGGTACATCTCTCCAGTCAACTGACTGGAGAAATCTATAGCTCCTACCCTGGCCACTGCAAGCTTATGGTCAAACTTTGATAGAGAGACCACCTAGCCTTAGGTGGTCCATCTCTCCATACAAAGGGCAAAAAA